GACCTGAACATTTTCATTTCTTCCAATGTGCTATGATAAGACTCGAGGTGTTTTCTCTCCACCGCTACAACAAGCTTCACCACACCAGCATTCCTCCTCACCTCAGGACTGCCCCTCAGAACTGTGACCCAGATCCAAGCACCAGCAAAGCAAGAGATTCCACCTTAGCCCTGGCAAAAAGATTCCTGCAATCCCCCTCTAATTAACCACTTGATTCCCCCTCAGCCTGTTGGCCAGAAGCTCACGAAACAGCCGCAGCCCTGGGGGTGGCTGAGACCTAGCTCCTTTTCTCACCACAGTCACAGACTTTTCCCACCGACTTTCTAAGTTGTCTTTGGTGTTCATGGGTTGAGATGTCTGGAAACTGCCACAGCTGCCCTCAATTCAGCACTCTGAGGCCTGATCCAGGGTCACTGCAGCCTGCGTGCCCACACTGAACTGTGCTCCTCTTCGATCAACCATCCAGGCTGTCTTTGGCTGGAAATTTGTTTCACTCTGTCTTTTTGTGGGTTCTGCTGCTTTAGATTTTGTTTAGAGCCATTTTTTATAGGTATTTGGAAGGGTTTGGGGGGAGAGCTCAAACAAGTCACTACTTTCCCCCTGCCATCTTGGCTCTGCCCCCCAGGACTATTTCTTATCAAGCTGATTTGATCAATTTGGGAGAAATAGGTTTGGAAGTGATCGTTTTGTATCCTTATTTTTGAGGTAGGGAATGAATGTGAGTTGTGGTTTTTGTTTGGGTGCGATTTCTTCATAAAAATGTTTATTCTGCCCATTTCAGAAAGCAGTATAGCCATATATGAAAGGAGCAGTGCCTTAAATATGAATTTAGAATGCTTGGAAATTGATTATTGCATACAGAAATACAGTACTATTAAGAGAGTTAGACTTTTAACTCTCTTAAATCTCAACAAAATGGCCAAGAAACTAGAAGTAAGAAGAAAAGGCTTCTAAACTGTGAGGAATATGTGTCACAAAGCCTGAGCCCTAAGGCCTACATTTATCTCAATAAGAGAGACTCTGAAGACTTCACTCATTTGCTCTTACTTTACACACAATTTTAAGATGCTCAGTTACCTAGTTTCTTTATAGAAAAGTTAGGAGCAACAAACTAAAAGCTTTCAGAAAGAAAATAGGGCCCATTCTTCTCATTAATAAGAATGAAAAATGACGGTCAGTAATATGACAGTGATATGAGAGAGGAGAAAATTATAAAAATAAACATAAGGACTTAAGCTTAAACAGTTTAGAATGATTTAGTATAGAGAAAAGAATGCTTCAATTCTTAAAAAGGCCAGAAGGCATCACTATTAGTGCCCTTGTCTGTGACTCTTGGGTAGTTAAGGTGAAAATGAAGGATAGTTGTACTGACTCCTCCCTTTGGCTCCCACTCTTGAAATGTGGGCATTATTAGCTTCATATAGTTGTTCTCTTTTCCCCTCCACCATTCAAAACCTATTCTCTAGTTAACAGTCTTTGGCTCCACTCATATTGAAGTCTGCCTGGAGGGAGAATGGGGAAACAATGGATAACTAAAAAAGATCCATCAATCTGACCTCCTACCAGACAAAATATCAATTAAATTACATTCACCTAAGGGCAAAAGACCTGTATCCTAGCTTAACATGCTTTGGAATTTTTATCACATTGAATAAATCAAAATCTTTATCTCTCATGTCACTCTCATCAGTAACCAGATTTACCAAAGATTTACTTTCTCCTATTTACCATCTCCACTCCCCGTTCCTCTCTTTTGCAATTCCTTATTTACAAATAATGAAGCACACTTATCAAAATAAGTTAGAAATTCTCAAATTTATCTAGAGTAATCTGTCACTGACATTCTATTTAAATTAAGAATTTTTAAAAACTTAAAGATCAGAAAAATGTCTGCCATTTCAGATAGCAAGAAGCATGGAAAAGGCTTAGTCATTTCAATGCTTGATGGCTTTTCCCAAATGGAAAGTCACCAACCATCAGTACCTCATGAACCTTCTTCTTAGTACTGTCCATGGATTCTGATTTTCTCTCTCTCTCTCTCTCCTTCTCTCTCTCTCCCTCTCTCTCTCTCATTCTTTATCTTTCCCCTGCTGCCTTCTTCATCTTCTTGTAATAAGTCCATTCTACTCCACAAAATATCATCATGAAATTCCTCCACATCAGAGAAATGCCATCAGTAGGTATATTGCATATTATAGATAATGCTCATATTCATGTTATTGAAATTTAAGGAAAAATACAGTAGGAAAGGAACAGATTATAGTTAAAAGAGCAAAGAATTTGAGAAATACCACTTTAAAAATTTGTTAATTTTTATATATAGTTGTATATACATGCATGTTTGTGTAAATGTCATCACATACATGTGTGTATTTATATATGATATATACGTAATGAATACATATACATATTATGTGTGTATATGTGTGTATAAATATACATACATGCATACATATATACATATATGTGTGTGTCTGTGTGTGTATATATATGTGTGTGTGTGTGTGTATATACATATATATACATACATACATATATATATATATATATATATATATATATATATACCTACTCATCATCATATTGACTTAAAGAGTTACTCTGGGGCACAAAAAAATGTTAAGTGACTTTCATAAGGACACATAGACAGTATGGTACATATTTCCTGTGGAAGACATAAACAAAATGATAGCCCCTTTTTCAACAATATAATTCTTGTCATATAATTCTGTCATATCAATATTTCAACTCTAGTGTTGGTTGATTGTTGTCCTTCTTTGTCAAAGAGGACCAAAATGACATTACTATGTTAGAATTAAGTTACAGTGTGTCTGATTGTGGCTGGTCAGACCAATGCAAGCTCAGAATGCTCTGCCACAGGTCAGGTACAAACAGTCCATGTGAACATTCGTGTTGGATTCTCTGAATTTGTGCATCTCACCTTTCTTTTGAGCTACTTCAATTCTGCTTTACTCATAGAGCACAGCATCTTCTTTGATGAGGACAAGCCATGCTGGACAGTCCTGTGCTAGTGTCTCCCATATCATGCAACCAATTCCAAAGTGCTTCAGAGAGACCTGGAGAGTGTCTTTCTATCATTTCTTCTGACCACCATGTGGACACTTGCCTTATGTGAGTTCTCCACAAAATAGCCTTTAAGACAGCATACATCTGGCATATAAACAATGTGGCCAGAAGAAGAGATCCCATTAGGGAAAGTGTTTAGGAGCAACCTATGTTGCGTCTTAAGGGATAGGAAAGGTGAAGTTTAAGTAAGAGAACATTAGAGGCCTGAGTTTGAATCCTGCCATTGAAAATTCATAGTTGTGTGATCACAGGCAGGCCTCTTAAGTTCTCTGAGCTTTAATTTCCTAAAATGTGAAACTAAAATACTTCTTACCACACAGTGTTGCTGTGAAAATGAAATAAAATATGGTAATATATTTTAGCTTTTGTCATTTTTAATGTTGGTTCTAGGCCAGGGTTTCTTAATCTTTTTTGTATCTTCAATACCTCTGGAAGTTTAATAATATTTTAAAAATCATAACTAACTGAAATGCCAAATATCAGTTAGAGTTTAGTGAAATAAAGATTTTTTTTCCCTATCCAAGTTTACAGTTCCTCTGAAATCTATCCATGGATGTCATGGACCCCAGTTTAAGAAACTTTATTATAGGCAGAGAGAAGAGTCTGAACATGGGTGGATTCTTGAAATGGGAAATAGTTCACAATAGCTAAAATAAAGCATTGTGAAAAGGAGTTACGTGAGATAAGGCAAACTGAAATCAGATTGTGGAGATCCTTAAATCTCAAGCTAAGTAATTAAAATTTTATTCAGTTGACAATGGAGAACATTTTTGACCAGGACACATAGTCATACTTCAATCTGGCCATTGTATTTGGCTCAGGATATATTGGAAAGGGAGGGACTATATATTTTAGCTGTGAATACTCCAAAGTTGGATTGTGGTGAGTTTTCAAAATTTCACATTAAAAAAATACAATAGCAATAAATCATTTGAGTAAATAGAAAGTTTTTGACACACGTACTTTTTAGAGGTTTTATCTTTCTCTAGGCTGTTTTGTGTTATCATGCTTCATTTAATATTCATACTTTTGAAACTCAGTTTAAAGGAAGCAATACAGATACTTCTATGTTTTAAGAGAATTTTAGACCTGTTTTTGTTTTTAAAAATCTGTTTAATTGGAGAGATGCATGAGAGAACAAATACTGGAAATTTGCTATCTAATTATTTTAATTCTCTCCTCAATATCGTCTCTGTAGCACACTAGAAGCTAATCAGGTATTACTTCAGGAGAGAAAACTGTCTGGGTGAAGACAAGATCCCTCTTCCTTCCACAAAACAATGAGAATAAGACTTATTTTTAGTACTAATCCCTGTGCTTCTTTCTATACCTGTTCCAACATGGAGAGGCTACCTCTGGCTCTGTGATTGTGCTGATTAAGGGCCTCTTTCTCTCAGGGTCTGCAAGCACTTGACTTCACCTCATGCCTCACTTCACAAGTCAGATGTTGCATTAATCAACCAGAGCACATTGTCTGCTGTGTGCTGTTGTTTAATTAAAAACCACACAATTCACCCCTAATTTAATGTCCAGTCTAAATATTGTCCATTTCTCATGCCCCATTTGAGCCAAATGTGAGAAATAAATGATGTGACTATATGAAATATAAACAAGAGAAAGAACACTGCACAAATATTAATTGTCCATTTCCTATTTGCATTTTGAAAAAATCTTGAATGAATAGATTTGTCCTAATGACCAGCTGTTCAGTTGTGGATATCACAATGATTTATTATATTGGATCAACTGGGATTTTGGAGCATGAGTATTATCAACACTAGATGATTTAGGCAATTACTTCAAGAATTTCTCACTTCAGAAGTACAACATAAAATGAAAACACTCCAAAAATGGGTGACATATATCTTTCAAGTGATTATTTTTACATGTTGATGTCATATTGTGTCTTTCAGAAGATGCTTATAAGACTCAGGTTCGGATTGATGATGAGCCCGCCTATCTGGATATTTTGGATACTGCTGGACAGGTAAATAATATCTGCTGGTTAGCCTTTTTTTTCCCAAGGCCAAGGACAAACTTTAACCTCAAATACACAGTTTATAAGGTACAGAAATGGGCTTAACTGATCATAGAAAGAGTCATTGAATTCTTTCTGGCTTCTTGGAGTATTTTTTTTTCTTTGACCTAGAAGATATGGATGTTGGCCATGATATTCCTGGGAGTTTTTAATTGGGATTTTCTTGCAATAGATGACGTGTATTCTTTCCATTTCATTTTGCCCAATGGTTCTAAAAGATCTGGGCAGTTTTCTTTTAAGATTTCTAGAAAAATGATACCTAGAATTTTGTTTTTCATCATGGCTTTTAGGTCCAAACATACTTAAATAATTTCTCTTCAATCTGTTTTCCAGTTCAGTAGATTCTTCCTCTGAGATACCTGACATTTACTTCTATTTTTCAATATTTTTACTTTGATTTAACATTCATTGTTTCATTTATTTCTATTTGGTCCATTTTAAATTTCAGGGAATCTGTTGCTTTAGTAAGGTTTGCATCTCTTATACCAATCCATTATTTTCCTTTCTGCTTCTACCTTTCATAAATCTCATTTTTCCCCATTTCTTTTTTTTTAGCAAATTCCTGTCTTGATTTTGGGTCTGAACAACATGGCTGGGGCTTATCCTTGCCAGAGTTCCAGTAGACAGCTGTTGGAACCAGCCTCTCTCAGTCATTTAGAAAGCCCTGTTGTTTTGGAGTGATCAGAACAGTAGGCTTCCCTTTGATGTGAGATTCCTGCTCTGTTGATTCCTCTTCAGCTGTAGCTAGTCCTGAAGGCTAAAACAGAGAACCTGCTCCACACCTGGAATCTGACCTCCATAGTTGCTTCATGCTTCTGAACTTGCTCCATGCTTCTGAACTTGCTCCAAGCTTGGTGCATAGCCTAAGGCCCTAAATAGTCCTTACCTTGGACCTCCACCTCAAGGTCCAGCTCTCCATTCTTTGCCCTGAATCTAACCCAGAACTGGGTAATAAGTGACAGCTGAAAATTAACAACTACTCCTATACACTGTAGAAAGCCAGCCCTTATTGGTCTGGAACTATTGCCTACTTTGGTGCATAACCTTTTACCTCTTTTAGTTCCTGCTCTAGAATTCTCCTTACGTTCCTTCTTGAATAGACCCCATCTCCAGTGTTCAAAGAGTTCTCTATCTGTCTCTTTATCTAGACCTGAGATTGGGGCAGGGGTGGGAGGGGGGAAAGGGAAACAACTATTTTTTTTTTCTTAGACTTTCCTAGGTCTGGTGCATTTTCCAAGTCTATTTGGAGATGTTGTAGAGCAGAGTTCAGCAATAATGGCTCTACTCACTGACATCTTAACTCTGCTTGGTGTGTGCGTATAGAAGTCAGCTAGCCACTGTGGAATCCTATGAAGGCCTAAGAAAACAGTGTTCTAGTCTTGGAGGGATTTAAGATGATTCCTTTCTGACAGAAATAAATTTTCCCTGCAGAATTCCCATAGCACTTTGAATTTATCTAATCTTATTCATCTTCTACCTGGTATTCTAGATGGCACAGGATGGAGTGCTAGGCCTGGAATAGGGAAGATTTGAGTTCAAATCTGACCTCAGGTATGAACCTTGGCAAGTCACTTAACCTGTGTTTGCCTCAGTTTTGTCATCAGTAAAATGAGGATAATAATAGCACCTACCTTTCAGGATTATTATGAGGATCAAATGAGAAAATACTTGTAAAGTCACATTGTAATAATTATATAAATGTCAATTATTATTAGTTATTATTTTTATCTGTCTTATCACACATACTAACTTATGAGCTCCCTGAGGACAAAGATTGTAGCTTATTTATCCTTTTATCTAACAGAACATCTTACAGAGAGCCTTATAGAATGCTTGATAACTGAATGAAGAAAATTCAAGTTTTACCTCAGTATCTGACCCCTCCTCATGCATGCATGGGGACACACACACACACACACACACCATAGAACAACATAAATTGAAGACAACGTTAAATTGCAAACTGCAATTACACATCCTAGATTGTGATGTGGGGCTGGGGTGGGGAGGGAGTTGGTTATTCAGGATACACTTACTTATGAATCCTACAAAACAGAGTTCATGCCCAGTGTAGCTTATACTTGGAGATGCTGCATCTTTACCACCTTATTAACTTGTCCTGTGACCTCTATAATTCATTATCCTAGGTTCCCATTGAAAACAGCACATTGTTAGCAATGCTCTTACAAAGCAGCCAGCTAACCTGGTCCTCTTTCCCCACCTTGAACTACTCTTGCTCTCAAACCTTCCCCCACCTCCCCAAAAAATCTCTGGTTCTGCACACATAGATTTAAAAATGCTTTTTATTGTGAAACTACCAGCATGGCAAATGAGCAAATTCTGTTTCCTAACTTGTTTTTCTTTACATTGGGTGTATATCAGGGAAAGAGGAGGAAGATAATTGGGAAGAAATAGTTGCAAGCCCCACATTATGGTACTTTTTATTTTGCTTCTGTGAATATACTTGATACTGAATAGGACAAATGGGCTCCTGTCTGAATGCATTTCTATTATAAAACTGCTGAACATGGGATCAAAGTAGATGACCTTGAGATAGACTTGTTTTTATAGTTTCTGCACCCAGTGAAATGTGGATTTGCATACTATGTGTGTGAATGTGTGTCTTTGAACATCCAAATTACCTTCCACAAAGTTACTTCCCTGCTCTTGGCCCTAATTTTCTTATGTTTATAATGAAAGGGTTAGACTAAATGATTGTGAACGTTTCTCCAGGCAATGTTTAATGTGTATGCATTTATATCTGTAATTTGATATTAACTATTTTTATTTTTTTATTACATATGTATGCCCATTTGCACACCACATAAGCCTTTCTGTTTTTTGTTTGTTTGTTTTCCAGATAAATGAGGTTTATGCCTTCAGGCACTATTAGGGATTTTTGTTTTGAGGGGGTGAACCTGTTACACCAGAACTTCCTCTATCAATTCAGATGAGCAGCTTCCCTGAAATGTATAGTGTTTGAGGTTGCCTGGTCCACTGAGAGTTTGAGTGACTTGCTGAGGTCAGACATCCAGCTAGGACATGTCAGAGATGAGACTAGAACTGGCTCTTTCTGATTCCATGACTGGCACTCTATTTTATCATTTTAAATTTATTGCATACTCTTTGTCCTCTTTGCATATCTTCTTTGAGGATAGTGAAAATAATTTAAGCTTTTCATCATTATTCATAATTCTTACTATTTGATTGTCTTTTATTGTGTCCAAACCTGCATCTTCCTTTTAGCTATTCTGCTCCTAATTCATTGCCAAATTGTCATTACAATTATTTTCCTTCTGGTTTGCTACTTATAATTTTTTCTGGGTTGGGAAATTAGATAACCAAGTTTGTGGGAAAAGATATGTCATGCAATTTGTATGAAACACCAACTTCCCTGCCAGAGAAATAATGCCAATTATTGCCAGATAAATTAAGTGCATGTGTAGGAGTTAATTTGTGTGCCTATATCATTAACAACAATATTTAAGCATTTACTGTGTGCAGAATGCCAACACAGGTGGAATGACAGGATAAAAATGCAAACTCCTAGAGGGAAGGGGATATTTCATCTTTTGTCTTTACCCCCAGTGGCTAGCACCATAGGCACTTGATAAATGCTTGTTGATCTATTGATTGATTGACTATAAAGAAATGAGTTCTTGTTCTAAATGAAGTTCCTCTTTGACTAAGTTCAAGATTTAATTTTACTCTATACAGTTTTGAAAAAGAAATCAGACTCAGAGGATTTGGATGCCCTAGATAACTATCAATCATTAGGCAATTCCTTTCTTTTTACCTTTATCTTTGTATTTTTATCCCTCTAGTTTTCTCTCATAAAATGCCAAGTGTTCAATATCAATAGCTGCTTGAAAAATTATTTGGCTCATGGTATAATATGTTATACATTAAGTAGTTAATTATCATTCATATTTTTATTTGAAACTTGGCAAAATCTAAGCCTGTAACTGCCCAAGTGATTATATTTTTCCTTTTTTTGCTTTAAAAATGATTTTATTTTTACTTGGCCAAAAATTATCATCTGGAGTATCAAACTCCATTGAAACACAATTTTAATAGAAATAACTGAAAGATGAAATGTCATCTAGGATTCTCATTATTCATTTCCCAACTTCCTAACTGTCATTAATTGAAGGCTATTCCTTCAGTGTGTCTTTTCATGGTGCATAACCCCAAAACTCTGTTACCCATAATTACTGCTGGGACACTCTGGAAATAGGCTCAGAGATCCCAGGAAACATTCCATTGAAGAGGTCATAGAGCAAAGTTTTTAAATGTTTCCATTCAAGGTCAATCCTCAGTTTTGTTTTGTTTTGTTTTGAGTGTGTGTGTGTGTCTGTGTATGTGTGTGTGTGTATGAAGGATGCATTACTTGCTTTAAAAGACTATGTCTTGTGGGCAATGAGCACTACTTGGCAGTGGGGGATGAAAAGAATTGATGTTCTGGCTATTGCCAAAGAGAATTGTGTATTTGAGTCTACATATTATGTGAAATAGAAGGAACTCGGTGCAAGGAGAGGGAGCAGTATTGTTGAGGGCTAGCCAGTTCTAGTACTCAAGAAACCTAAGTTCTCTCACTAACAAATTGTGTTTAATGGCTTTGTCAGACCATTTAACCATCTATTCTTCACTTTGTTGACCCATAAACTGACTTGTTAGACTAAATGTCACCTCAATTCTTTTTCAAATTCTGAATTGAAGTTCTAAACAAATATCGATAGATAGATGTATGTATATGTGTATGTATATATGTATGCATATATGTATATATGTGCATACACACATGTATATTAATATGTGCACACACGTGTGTACATGTTTATATTTGACATCATGTGTCTGTGTGCATGCACACACACACGTATAAACTACTTTTGGCAGTAGTAACTACATAATGAAGAAAGTGGATAAAATGGTGAAAAGATGTAAAC